TCCTCCCCAACCTCCTCACTACTTTCAGACTCTGCTGCCAGCTCCGGGCCACAACAGGTCCTAGGCTTGGTTGACTCTTGCTGGGTGAAAGGGCTTTGGGCAATTCCTATTATGGCTCTGCCTGAAGGGGGTAGATCTTTGTAATGTAGAATAGACCGGCCCAGGCCTTAATATCCCATTGACAAAGATAGGGGGGAAGGGGCTGAGTTTCTCCTTCTCTTGAGTTTCTACTTCTCTTTGAGGAGAAATATCCTCCCTTTTTAATACACCCTCGAAATATTTCGTTTTTTCTAGGAGAGGGGTGGGTTTTAACTTCCCACGAAGTCCACCTATCTTAAAGTTCCCAAGGTTGACAGACCTCCGTCTTTTAATTTATCTCTTTTTGTTCCGGTTGTTAAGGCAAGTCCTTGCAGTTCAGGGAAGCGTCTTAATCAGAAATCTTCCTTTTTTAAAAATTTCCAGCCTGGCAACCTTTCGGGAAGGGCGTTTTTTTCCACAATGGGCCTATTATCTAATTGCTGCCAGCATTTTGGGCGCCTCCTTCCTGCTGTGTGTGTGTGTGTGGGGGGGGGGGGGAGACAGGGGGGGGGGCCCGAAAGGGGGGGGGGTCTCTCTGGGAGCGATGGGGGGGGATAGGGGGGGGGGGGGAAGAGTGGGTGGGAGGGGAGAGCAGTGGCCTCCACCCCATGGAAGGAGGGAAAGGCAGCTTTCTGCAATTGGGGTGGGGGGGTCATGCTTGCGCCAGGACGCCCCTCCCCAGGGATTTTCCCCCCTCCCCTCCCCCAGAATCCCATGCCCTCCAGGATTCCTTCTCCCCCCTTTTCTCCCCGTCTCCCTTTTTCCCACAACTCGAGAGTAGAATAACAAGAGTTGGAAGGGACCTTGAAGGTCATCTAGTCCAACCCCCCCCCCCCCCCAAGCAGGAGGGTCTATTCCAAATACTAGCCTCTACTTAGGATCGAACTCACAGCCTCCTGATCGGGGAGGGGAGAGCTCCACCTCTCCTGGGGTTCCTTGCCCCTCCCTCCGGAGCATTGACCC